TATATATATATATATATATATATAGGTAATTTCTTTCACACTCCATATTGTTTTAATAACATGCAATGAATCATTAATTCTTCTTCGCCATTGTTATCACGATGTAAATTTGCCAAAGATAAATCAAGTTTAAGTCGAGATTACTTTCGTACTTACCAAATTACATGCGCACAAAAGTCCGATTCCCTTGTTGAGAGCGACACCGGCAGCACATTCCGCTTTCAATTTAGCATACGAGCTAATAACCAAAGCAGGCAAGGCGGCCAATACACGGCGATCCAAGCCTGTAGAAAGGACATAAAAATGAATCTTGATTAAAATTTTTAAATCGTGTTCGTTTTGCACTGTGGATTATATGACGAGTCTATATATATATACACAGATAATAAAAGGCGATATTATTCACGTAGAAATACCAATGCCGCATATACAACCTAAAGTTGATCCGCGGATCAAATATGGCCGACCCATTTGATAGCTTACCCCCTAATAACTTATTCAGTGTCTGTTGGGGGATTGGGCAACAAGCTTTCAAGTGGGTCGGCCATATTTGGTCCTCGGATCTGTTAGTCCGCGGATCAACTATGGTTTTAATAACAAAAGGCCTATAACTAAATACAATGAAACTTCATGCAATTTTATATTTACCGGAATGCATATATACCATTTAGGAAAGATTAGTCAAGTAAGATGAACAGAAAGATAAATAGAAATAATTACAACAAGGTCAAACTTGAAGCCATCCGTTCTAGTTCAGCTTTTAATAAATGCAGCAATTTTAAGAGAGTTTGACTACCTCATACTTTTATACTTTTAAATAAACAATTTATTGGTTTTATTTAATCAATACTCTGAACGTGACAGTGTGACCGTTATAATGTCGACAGAGATCTAAGAGAAAAGAAGAGACCATCAATCCACAGTAGGAAGTTAGCAATAAAGTGAGAGCAGGGAGTGTAAATGGAAAAAGAAAATATTTACCTTCAGTATATCTGTCGTGCTGAAATATGAATAATCATAATTTAATTCATACGAGGCCTTGATCACTCAGTGAACAGTTCTGAACGGAATTTCCGCAAAGAAAGAAATGATTGCACAGAATATTAAGTACAAATGTTTATCTTATGAAAATTTTTTAATAAGAATCAGAACAGTGTGAATTTTGCAATGCTGCCAGGGAAACTATTCTTCACGTTTTCTGGGATTGCCCTCATGTACAGAATGTTTGAACGTGTGTCATTTGTTCCGTAAAAGATAATTTAGGTACTGCAATTGACAGATCTCCCGAGATTTTTATACTCGGGCTTGTGCAATCATATGACTTAAAAGGTTTTTATCTACTGATCTTAATAATTAAGAAATATATTAGTTTATGTAGAACGAAAACAAATCCCAACATGGGAAGGAACTAGACAATATATTAATTATTACAGAAATATTTGTTTATATTTTTTATATATGTATACCGACAAAAAAAACATGTTAAAAGAAAATGGGAAAATATTGATCGCATATTACAAATTAATTGACAAGCAACAAGCTTATGATATACCTCTTAGAATTTCAATTGTAAGGTTAACAACATGAATAGTCAATCTCTACTTTCTACCCGTTTATGCATTACTGTAATTGTACAACCTTTTTTACTGAGAGAGAAAGAGAGACCAAGTATATGTAAATGTGTGTGCGCGCGCGCGTGTGTTTTTGTGTGTGATTCATAAGCCAAAAACTAAGTTTGTATATTGCTACTGAATAAAAAGTTTACAACTCTTCAGTCGAGTAAGTAAAAAAATAAACCTGATAGTCAGGACCTTTGTAAAAGAACCATTTTGTATGTTTGATGAGGAATTGTTTTGCTTCTGGAGTGAATAAGAGTAAAGCATATACGTTAAATACCAGATGCGTGTCCCGTCGAATTAAAAACATTTCCCAATTTTTTTTTCCTGTTAGCATGTCGTCTGAAACACGGTCCGTGCCCCGACTACTCTACTACAATATACCTCAACACGGGCAGGTCAAGCAATTCGTCAAGGGGGGCGGGGGGGGGGGGGGCGGGGTGCACAAATATTTTTATGCCAAGCCAAAAGGAGATAATGACGACTTCACAGTAACTTATGGGGCTCGAGAATAGAAAAGTCGCTTGGCTGTGTCTCGTTTCGTTTGTTATATGTAGGCCTACATGTACTATTTATAAGGGATAGGTTTAGAAGGGGTAGCCTACCTGCGAAAAGAAGGGCCAGGATAGGGATCATGTGGGTTACTATGTGCAGGAACCGTCATTATTATACAGCAGCTAGTACATGTATTCCTCTAATTTAACTGAAAAATACACAAACACATACCTCGACATATGGAGCAACAGCGTCGTATTTGTCGCCTCCTAACCGTTTGTGAGCCTTCTTTGCTAAACCAGTACTCAAAACAATTGACTGAAAATAATAGCAAGGAGTCAGAAGATTAAGCAAAATATTCAACTTTTATATAAGGTATAAATTAAGGTATAAAGGTATAATATCAGTGTTTTGAAATAACTTAAGTCTTTATTTCTATATCTACATACACTGTATCCCGCAACTTATCTTTCCCTGTCAAGACTTAAAAATACCCCCTCCCCCAAGGAAAAATTATCCGATATTTCCATCTGAATGTTCAGAAAGACATGGTCATGCTGAACATGTGGCCGATTGCTCACTTCTTTGCTTAGCCACGATTGATAAATATCGGGCCATTCGACATTTTTGTATCCGACCGGGTGAAACCTTACTGAAAGTTTCTGTATAGGTATGCCTTAATGCACGCAGCTGACGCACCGAACGCCTACCTGACAACATGCAACAGCTGCTCTGCTTACACAGCGTGCTGACATAAGAAACGAAAACTTAGATATACATATATCTTATTTCTTTGAGTTGAATGAGTATCGTGTTAAAAATGTGACTGAAAGAAACCCTGCACTAGTTTTAAACATACCAGAAGTAAGATAACCTTCATCTCTTCAGTCGTCGGCGTCTCAGCAACACTAGATGGTGAAAGCGGGTGTCTCTGGCGATTTCTGACCACACCCTCTGCCTCGGTCAGCTTTATATAGCGTTCGAGCGCTGACCAGTGCTCACACACGTGATATATATATGTTATAATAAATCGCAACAGTATTGGTCGAGTATTATTTAACAAGACCTCATCCGAGGCTGCACGCCCTGAGTTTCAGAGGCCACTAGAAACTCTGTCCTCCACTGTTAGCAGTAGGCCTAATTGAAAACAACAGAAGCAGGCTGACAGCAGAGAGGAGTTCCCACAGTGTTCCCAGTCTCCTCGGACACTCAGGGTGGGGTGTCATTCTACCATTAGGTCTGCTAGGTTATAAATCTCCAGCCTCCCAGTAGATTTAAAATCTCAGCAGCTTAGATGTGAAATCCATAGGCCTAGGCCTACCGTTTCTTACGACCAAGAGTAGGGGACATTACCCTCTACCAGAGCCGCAGTTATTATTGTGGACATTTTTGGCTAAATCGACATCAGACCAAAATGACTGTCTATTTATCTAGAGACATATCTGTGAATATCTGTGGAAAATGAATCTGTCGCCCTGGTAGAGGGTAGGCTAATGGGACATGCTTGGGGGAGGGGCCGGGCAACAAGGAAGCTGCAAGCGTGTGTCAAAGCACCGTACGTGGTGGAACATTACTCTCTGACCACAGGGTGCCCTAGCAGTAGTGATAAAAATGTTAAAAGGCTCACAGTGTTTTTGTATAATATTTTAGTGGCCCCTGACATCAGAGGGTAGTGATACATGACAATTTAATTGTATTACTTCCACAGATAATTGAAATAGGGCCTACAAACAAAAATCCTCATAGGCCTATTTTATATCATCTGTCTTTCTATCTTAGTGTGTCTGACATAATCGAAATCGTTCGTAGACATAATCCATAGACTTTCAAACATGACAATTACTTGCAATAAGAATGCAGTTTTGTCGTGTTTTCATCATTATGTAAAACATTTGCCTGTCTCCTGTCATCATTTTTATTCAAGGTGTTTTGTCGTTTTAAAGGGTGTGAATTGGAAACAGAAGCTTTGCAGAATTTTTACACACGTACAATATACTTTTCATTTGTAAATCAACATTTCAAACTTCATCTATCGCTAGTTTACAGACTAGTTTATAGACTTATAATACACCCTATCTTGGTCTTCAATATTTAGAGATTTGAAACAGTGCCTCCGTTTCAGGACGGTAGAGGAAATATGAATGTGTATTCGGTGGGCTAAGTTAGTGCGGGATGTATTGTTTTCAGCTATACATTTTAACTATTTTACAGTTAGGTGTTTATGCCAGTCAGAGTCCACACATAGTTTTTATAGTCGCGGACGATCTTGGTAAGTTCCCTATAAAAGAATGATACCGACGTTCAAAACAAAATTTAGATTCTTCCCACCTAGCACGAAAGTCTTAGCATTAGCTCTCATATTTTCGTTTTCTTACATGCATTATTTGCGTGTGTTATCTTTCCCAAACTAGTTAATGAAGTCTGTGGTTTGGGGTTTTTCTAAATTCATTCCCTAATACTAGTGTGTGTTAAGTATGATTTACATTGTATGTACCCGGTTTTCTTGCACACACACACACAATAATAATAATAATAATAATAATGATAATAATAATAATAATGATGATAAAAATAAATAAATTAATTATTTGATTAAAAAATAATAAATAAATAAATAATAAATAAATAGATAAAATAACATAATAATAATAATATTCAAATAAATATATAAAGAATAAGAATAAATAAATAGATAAATAAATCATAAAAAAAAAAAAAAAAATAATTAGCCATTTCAAATTATTTCTATTCATTGGTGTTAAACTTAATCCCTCAGCAGGTGTGAACCTGCCAATATAAACCTTCAGCACTGGCATCTCTCAAACATATTCACTATTTTATTTTTGCAGGTTGGAATGATGTTGGTTTCCGAAACCCAGCTATAAAAACCCCAAACATTAATCGCCTGGCAAATAATGGAGTTGTTCTCAACCAGTCTTATGTGCAGCCATGGTGTAGTCCGTATGTACTGCTAGTAGTAATGTCTTTATGGCTTTACGGTAGCTTTGATAACCGTTGGTATGTTGGTTTGAATATGATGTCCTGTGATAGTGATCTCTGTGTGTTTACATGTGCATAATTATATGCGTGTCTGTTAGCTTGGTATTGGTAAATTATATACCCGCATAAGTTGATGAAATGTTTGTAATGGTTAGAGCATAATTAAGAAAGTTTGTTTGAACATTTTCAGATCAAGAAGTGCATTTCTAACTGGATATTACCCATTTCACAATGGACTTCAGGTAGTAATAAGATGACCTGTATATATAACATGCATATAAGCTGCAGATGTTTTCCTTTAAACATACACTTTCTAGGGATCCTCAGCGAATTTTTAGTACTATTACTTACCAAACATCAATCTGTTAAATTAAAAGCTCAGAAATATTTTTAAAAATCTCTGACTTTGTACCACATTTTTTCCTTGGTTTGGCCCAAGCGGGCCCTGGCCAATTTGCATAAGAATTTTTTTAATAGAGGCAGTAATTTCAACACTTCAAAAGGATTACATGCATTTTCACATTTATTAGTACATGCTACCTAAAAAGTGTAGTATGGATAAGCTTTCCTTTGAAATAAAATGACAGTTAAGAAAGACATTGAGGATTAATTTAAAACACATTTACATTTTTTTTCTTTATCTAACCTAGGAATATCAGACAGCTTGAAGGATACATATATCCTACCACATAAAAGAGCATTCATTTTAAAGCTTGAACTACTCTGTAATTCTTTCTTTTCCAGCATGGTGTGATACATGATACACAGCCCTATGGTCTTCCTCTGAACAGAACCACACTGCCACAGCACCTGCAGGCACTGGGATACAGGACAAGTATGATTGGAAAGTAAGGGACTGTATACAATGAATATTGGCGACCTAGCTAATGGACACTAATGCTACAGGGATTCTCACTGAATCCAATCAGATTTACTGATTAACACACCATTTGTTTCCAATGCACTCATACCATCACAATCTTTTCTATATTCAACATGTATATGCCAGGAGGAGGCATATTAGTCAGTTAAACGGATTTTCTTCATTGGGTCCGCATAGAATTAGTGGGCATCAGCTAGTTCAACAAAATTAATTGTGAACATTCTCTAAGCCTGAGTCTCAGACATTAAACCTGGCTCCACGGCCAGTAAAGATGAGGCCAGGCCATAAAAATGCCGTAAGTTTGTTCATTTGCTGGCTACTGTTTCTGTTTCATTGTTAACCCAAATAGCCAATGCAACAGCAGTTTTTGTACAGGGTGTATCTTGTTTTAATTACTAGTAGTTCTAGCTCCTTTTAAGGATTTTGAAATTTTTTTAGCTGTCAAAAGATTGAATGTGTCATGGGTAGTCTTAGACCCTGTTTCCATACCTAGATCGATCAAGCAGGATGGACCCATCTCGAGGGGTTTCTTGCTAAATTACATACAGCTTTAACAGCTCTGATGCCTACTGAAGCTGTTTAGGGGTAATAACCTATTGTTTAGCAGCTTCAGTAAGCATGCCAGACATCTAAGGAACTTAAGCTGAATCCAATTTACCAAGAAACCCCTCAGAGATGGCTCAATCCTGCTAGGTCAATTTAGGTATGGGAACAGCGTCTAAGCTGCGAGTGCTGAGCATATTGTGACAGTGGGACTGCCATTTTGTAGCATGATGAATGGAGAATTATGTACTGCTTTGCCACTTGTTTAATTTTGATTGTAAGATTCATTCATTTTAGATTATACATATATTTAAAAGAAAACAGTGCAGGTGCGCTTGCTTTACCATTCAATTTTTATTTTTGGTGGCACTCTTTTCCAGAAGAAATGGAGTGAATTAATGTAGTCAAATGCCAAGGTGTTATAATGACATTTAAAAATGTTGTATGATATAATTTTTTGACAGTCGCACTCAAAATTTTTTAAAGATGAAATTGTCTTTCATGTTTCATTTTGTCTAGGTGGCATCTTGGTTTTTGTAACTGGAGCTATACTCCTACATCCAGGGGGTTTGACCATTTCTACGGTTACTACAGCGGAGCAGAGGATTATTTCACTCATGTTCAAGGTAATATGCTCTGAACTTTTCTGAGCCTTTCAATTGCAAGTTATATATTTACCAAACTGAGAACCAATTTAATCATTTACCTTGATTTGTATTTATGATTTTAGGTTTATATCTTTTATTAAATAAAGATTATTAAATTTGTTTATTTTCTTTTTATAAATACAAAGTGTTATCCCCCACAATGTGACCTACATTGCTGCATGTGAAAGGATTAAGGAACCTTGGTGGTTACTCATAACAGAAAGAGAAGCTCTCTTCTCCCTCCCCCTTCCTCCATCCCTGGTTCCCGTTATCAAGGAGAAGGTACACCATATGTATACATGTCAGTTTATATTCCTGGTTACTTTCCAGGTCGTGAAGGACATGTCCATGGCTTAGATTTCAGAGACGACAGAGATGCAGTATGGGACCAACAAGGAATTTATTCAACTGTAAGTATAAATTCAAGATTTTACAAGTTGCATTCTTAAAGAATTATATATTTAATGTTATTATATAATTATTAAACAACATTGGACCATTGGTTCTTGATGCTTGGTTCAAGTGTTTCTGTTTTTTAATCATTAGTATAGTAATGTGTGTACTTTTAAATACCACTTTTCACTGTAAAAGATACAAAGGCCTCGAAATATGGTTATCCATGTGAATATTTAAGAAAATAAAGAGTGTGAAAGTTATTTATCAGCCATGTTTCTTTTTCAGTATTCCTATAGTAAAAGAGTTACTGAGGTGATCATAAAGCACAATCAGTCCCACCCTCTGTTTCTGTACATGGCATTCCAGTCCACACATTCTCCTCTACAGGTAGGAACATTCTAATGGCACACTTCTTCTTGAGTTTATTTCTAAATAGCTGATCAAATTTTCAGACAAAGTACTTTGATTAAAGAAGTTTAGGGACATCATAATTATCATTTTGTTGACTTTGCAAATTAGATTAAAAGAAGTTTCAGTAGAATCTGCATGATTTGAAATCAATTTGAAATCAGAAAAATTTGTGTGAGTTACACAGAGTTTTGAGTTTGGCAATGTTTATGTTTATTTCCGCTAATACAAAAGAAAACTGATGTGGAGTCTATTAAATTTCCTCATTTTTATTTTGTTAAGGTGCCAAAAGTTTATGAAAACATGTACAGAAACATCAACAATCAATCCAGAAGGATATTTTCTGGTGAGTAATCAGTTTTGTGTTATACAGTCTGAAATATTGAAATGGCCCACTGTATTATCACAGTCATCAAAACAAAATGTGTAACATTCATTATGCTGAGATCATACTTGACTAAATGCTAAGCCTAAAGATGATTTTATTAGGATTAATAGAATCCGAAACACTTGTATTCAATATATATTATTGATTTTAATAGACTTACTTAATAGAAATATGCCAGAGTGAACTAGTTGTTTGTGATGGCTTTAGCAAATAAATCGATGCAGAATTTTGTCAGTGATTGTATTTTACCTTCTGCATCACTTCACTAGAATACAATATTTGCTTATGGAAATATTTCATGTTTAAAAAAACATTACTGGGAATTTTGTGATAGGGATATTAATCTTTGTGATGTATTTCATGTTTTTGTTTTAGGTATGGCAACAGCAATGGATGACACCATTGGCAATATAACTGCAGCATTAGAGAAATCTGGAATGATGAATGACACAGTCATTATATTCACAACAGATGTAATTTTTTAATTAAGAGATGAGTGCTGAGAGAGAGAGAGAGAGAGAGAGAGAGCAGATGAAGCATGAAATGAATGATCAATTACTTTTGATTGGCTATAAAATACAAATGTTTTTCCCATTCAAATTTGAGTCAAGTTACTAGCACATACTGAAAAAGAGTAAAAATGTGCCCATAAAGTAGTTTTAGCTGTCATAATAATTTATTACAAATGTAAACCACTTTTTCTTATTAATATGTCTACAGGTACATATATACGGTAATGTGCCATGAATTTCGAACAGTAGAAAATAATTAAATTTGGGAAAAGATCGTTCTGGCCGAAATTCATGAAATGGAGGTGCTCAGAACTTCCGAAAGTTCGAATTTCATGGAATTCTGTCAATTTTGACCGGAAGTTGTCTGTTCGTCAATAGGCCTTCTGTTATCTTCTCCCAACGATCTATTTAGAGTTACCATTATGTATGATGTGTGAGTGTTGGTAATTGCGACCAATGGTATACACGTACTTTCACCCGATCACTGTGTATGGCCCATAGATAGAGTGGTACTGTTGTCTAGGGCCGCAAAACAGCATCGTTATCAGTAGTGTCGTTTTTCAAAAGCGATTCTGGCAGCCAGAAACTAGTGTCGTTTTTCAAAAACGATCCTGGCGCTCAGAATGGGAGTGGACGGAGGGAGAGACGGCCGATGATTAGCGTCTGCCACGGCCAGATAACCTTTACTACGGAAGCTTAGTGTTACCGTTGCTACTTTCTGTGCACTGAAACCGAGACGAGAGCCGATCAGTGTCTATGGCGCACGTGCAGGTAGCCTTCATCTGCGATAAGTGTCTTCCGCGACCAGGTTCGTTGCCTTTACCGTTAAAGTCGGGCGGAGCTTTACGCGCGAATGCGTCCTCATCTCGTCGTTCGCGGGTCGTTGTCTCCGACGCATACGTAGCCTTCCCTGCAGAAGCCGGCCTCGGCACTACGACCTCTCCTCCGTGTGGGGAGGCCACTACGACCGCAGATCGGTATGTGCGGCGCACAGGTAGCCTTCGCCACGGCAGCTGAACTGTGAATTACGGTCTCTCTCCGTCGTGCGCTGCGACCAAGATGACCGCTGATTGTTGTCTGCGATCAAATATACTAGGTTTGGAGGGGGTGCAGGGCCGTGNACGTCTTGGCTTGTCGGGACAGCCGTGGACGTTGTAAGAAATTTTCTTAGAGTAATATGACGTACCTAGCTTTTATGATGCGTCACAGATGAATGGTACTACTTTGTAGTGTACGCTGATATTCAGTCACGACGAAACTACTTCCTAAAACTTACAAAACACAATAAAATGTTTCTATGAACTTCAAGATACACATTCCACGCCGTATGCAGCAGTGACAAGAGTGACCTTCATGCGGTACAAAACACTAAGCAAACTACAGGCCAATTTGTGAAAGGGGACACCTTCCGGACCTTCATACGCACGGCAACTGACAAAGCTGATTGACAAAAAGGAAAATTTCAAATTTTCAGCGAGAGAACGTTCGCAATCCGAGAGAGAACAGGAGGCAATTTTCATATTTGTTAAAGAGACTTCGTAAGCCAAAGGGCGAGACGAGAACGCAATTTTCGTATCGTCAGCGTCGCAATCCGAGTGAAACGAGAAAGCTCATACTCGTTCATTGGCTTTCGTTTGCGGCAGATCGTCATCCGGAGATCGTTCTCGATTGTTTTTAACCCTCCATCCCTCCCCATTGGAATTTATAATTTTTAAAAATATTTTTCATTTCATTTGTACATTTCAAGGGACTTCATTAGCGGAAGATCATTAGCGGAAAATCGTCAGCGGGAGATCGTGAACGATCTGAGCGAGACAAGAAAGCAATAATGGTAATCTTTATTGCAGCTCTTAATGTTGCTCTTTTGTGCTGTTACTAAAGTCTCTACTGTTAACAATGCTATTGTGCGCCTCAGCAAAACTACCGATCGCTATCTCACACCGAATACTGCGGTAAAGAAACAACAGCCCGACAGTACAACTCATAATAGATTCTCCTGTTATCTGAATGAATGGATATGACGATGTTGTTTAGCGTCCTAAACTAACTGTACTGATCGTTATCTTGCACCTTGGGCCGCACACGTAGTACTCTAGTAAAGGTACGCTAGGGCAACATTGCCGACTGTTAGATCTTCATAAGCGCGAGAATAGCCCGGTGGCCAATTTTAAGGTGTACGAAATTCACGAAATGAAGATCGCGCAAAATTGCTTACTGGCCGAAATTCATGGTCCAGAAAAAACTCCAGACGGCCGATTTTAAGATCGTTCGAAATTCAAGAGCCGTTCGAAATTCATGGCACTTTACCGTATGTCTCTATATAATATTAATAAAGCTCATTTTAATCTATAACCTTTGTTAGTAGTAGTTCATTGCCTGATGGAAGAGAAGCTTGATAGCAATTTCATAACTGTTTCGGAAATAATTCCAGAATGGTGGACCAGTCATCCATGGAGCTAACAACTGGCCACTGAGGGGTGCTAAGACCACTATATGGGAAGGAGGCACGAGGGGCAGTGCTTTCATTCATGGTCAGAGACTGAAGAAAACACAGTATGTCAACAATGAGTAAGTACTGTGTGTGTGTGTGTTATGGCAGGGTTTACAGCGCCCTGAGTGTCAAAGTTCAGTGGAAACTAAACTCTAGTACATGTACTGGTATCAGTCAGTATTTGAGGTCTGGTATGATCCATGAGAAGGAGGGTATTGGCCTGCATTGCAGCCAGGGGAGGACACACATGTTACTGAACAATATGATTATACTACTTATGCAACAGTATTGTACAAGAGAGTATACTGAAACCATTGATATCCCAATGATAAATCTCTTAGTTGAAAGCAAAATTTTTCTTAAACAATCTGGTCAGTTGTAGTTTACATTTTACCACATGGAATTTGAATAGTAGAGTCATAATGTAGGAGCAGGACATGAAACACACTCTGTGACATATGAAAACACAACTTAAACTTGGACAGAAAATATTTCCCTGTTTGAAGTGATATTTACATGATAAATGCCAGATATCAATACAGGGATAGCTTAGTAATTCCTGGGAGATGTAACATAGACCCCTTGTATTTTCAGTATTATTTTTCACTGTGTCTCTATCTTTCCATATTCAGACTGATCCATGCTGTGGACTGGCTGCCAACCATTGTGGCCATGGCAGGAGGCACAGCAGCCAAGTTAGGTGAGACCTTTTATTTATATAGATGGAAAGTTTTCCTCTCTGTCATTGTTTATTGTTTTATATAGCCCTTTTCATCGTTTTTTATTTGAAATTATTTTGTAATTCCACAAATACAGTTGAGAGGAAAGGTGTTGATTACTTGTTATGATATGTTTCACTTCAAATACTATATGTTTTTTTGGATTAGATTGATGTAAATGCAAGTTAATGAGTTTTGCTTTAAAATTAGCATCATTTCTAAAACAGACATTGTACATTAAAGAAGTAAACTTTTACTTTCAGACTCAGATTTGGATGGAGTGAACCAGTGGCCCACTGTGAATACAGGCTCCCCTTCTGCCAGGAATGAATTTGTATACAACATAGATGATGTTAAGAGAAATGGTGCAATAAGGTACTATATTTTTGGCTATAAGTTGGATGAGTGAAATTATGATAAATATCATAAATATTTCTGAGGCCCTTTATTTTTTTTCCATAACAAAATGGCAGATTTTTTCTTCTTGGAAGAGGAGAAAAAGCATAGAAGCATGTTTCATGCAAAATAATAATAATAATAATAATAATAATAATAATAATAATAATAATAATAATAATAATGCTGTGTAGTTTCTCATGTAACAGTAGACTGTTTATAACCTGGATGCTTTTGGATTGGAAAGATTGTTTTGATTTTTGCCCATTCCACCAAGACAATTTTCAGCAATTGCCAAAGAAGTTTGGGAGAAACTATTATTATTCATGTTGCACGGCAAGACAATAGTCTGCTAGCCTTGGTATGTTTATCCATTACATATAGACACACCTTGCGAATCATGTGACTATCAGAATGTTTGGTATTATATGCAGATATTTTTTTGTTCCATTTTCAGGGTGGGTGATTATAAACTCATTGTGGGTAATCCTGGTAAATTTAGTGATTGGTACCCTGCCCCATCATCTACAGGCAATGTCAACAATACCGTGACAGGAGGAGAATATTTCAGAAATATTGATTGGATATATTCAGAAGATGAAGACAACGAGATAGAAGATTTTGAGCGTCCTTTAAAAAGGCAACTTTTCAATATTAGGGGTAGGATTGCTTGGAGACATTATCTTAACATTGCATATCATATATTACATATGTAGTTCTAAAAGGTTGCAACAAGAGTTGACTGTTTGAGCATGCAGTGTTTTGAGATCTGAATAAAAACTTAACATCCAATTTCAAAGAAGAAATTCATTAAATGTGTTATGTTGTAAGAATAAATTTTTTTTTTTTTGTAAATCAACAGCTAAATATTGAAATATAGTATATCTCCTGAATAGAGGCTATTCACCTGGATTGCCTCATTCCCTGATGAAAGACATCCGAGTATTGGAAGTAAACAATTTCAATATTTAGCTGTTGATTGAAGAAAAAAATAACTTTTTTCTCATAACATCCAATTTATATATTAAACAGTAATGACTTATAATCAGTCATATTTCATTTCAGATGACCCAACTGAGCACCACGACCTGTCAGCCTCCATGCCTGCCATGGTGGAACAGCTGTACCAGAGACTTCAGGCTTACAACAGGACTCTGGTCCCAGCTCTAGATCCCCCACCTAACCCCAGGTCAAACCCAAAATACTGGGCCGGGGTCTGGTCTCCTGGGTGGTGCTAATGTAGTGCTTCTTTAGGTGCAAACTGACTTCTTTTTATATATTTATCATGTGTAAAACTAATTAACTTATGTCTGTCGGTCTGTCCATCTTTCTTTTTGTCAAAATAGTCTCTAAGAGTATTTTGTTGAAATGCAAGTGTGACCCCTAGTTCTACCTTCAGACCAAATTGTTTCCTACTCTAGTTCAACTATAGCATATTGCTCAGTTTTACATTCTCTGTAGCTTTTAAAGATCAAAGAAATCCTCTTTGAATCCTGTTAAGAATCTCGAACTAAAACTACTTTTATATGGTTAAAATTGAACCTCATTCTAGAATTTTCTTTTAAACACGTTTTGTCATTCATATTTAATACTTTCAAATTTTGTATTATTGCATAATACAATACCATGCAAATACCAGAGCTGTGTTATACTAGATTTTTAATAAATTTAAAAAGTTTTGAGAACATACTTTTTCATTTTTGGAAAGTTCCAAGAAGACAACCCTTCTCACCACCAAGGGGCATTTGATACTTCAACTGTTGATCTTGAGTATTGATTGCGAAACAAGAAAAGTTACAAAAACTATACCTTTATTATAAGTACAATAGAAGCAAATATGAAATGTGATTACAATGGAAATATGACAATATGGCTATAAGAAATAAATGACCATGTATAATGTGTACATTTTGATAAGTGTAAAAAAAATGTGCTTGTTACAGTGTCAGTATTACATGTATTATCATGGATGCATAACTAAAGAAATAAATAATTTATTAAGTCCTAATTTGTGTATTGTTATACATGATATACAGATACCTTATAAAAACAGACTGAAGTGATTAAGAAAATTGTTACTAAATACAGCAAGTGACTTGAGAGTTGATATGAACAAAATTAAATTTGTGCAATGCAGAAACACTTGGGTTTCACAGAAGGACGAAAGTCAACATATTGACCCTTGGACTTAGCACACTACATAACTTGTGGACTTACACCACCAGTTTGTAAAGACTAATTATTAAACGGGTTTGCAAATTTATGAATTGAGGAGCAATGGAAATAAATGCAATAATGTTCATGTTTTAAAAAGATCCTTTGAAAATAAGCTGAATTCAAGCTGTAACTGAGGTGCACCTGTCAAGGGAAGACTTCGTGTCCTTTTTCAAATGAGACCTGGGTAAATATACTGCAGAAATGTATGCTAGCTTTTTATGATATTGGTGCCTCTAACTGCAACAATTTTAAAAAAACATTGGGAGTCTGTCACATTAGCAACATATGCAAGTAAAATTAGAACCAGGCCAGTTTTAATTTCTTAATTGGTTAGGTTATTGGCACGTGTTCCCTCCATAGACCATTGGATACTTAAACCCTGGTGTCTCAAGGTCTGGAAGGCTAAACCTTATTTTGACACAGATACTGCTGATGGCAGGTTAACAGAATGCATTCACAGCATTTGTACTGGCTTTTCCTCCTCATCCCACAGACACATCTGCTTAGCCTTGACATAATACTCAAACATTCGGCACTTCTTACAAGTCTTAATGCCACAGCGGTAACTGATCACTTTTCCTGAGTTGTCTTTTCCACGACAGTATTTCAGTCCACAGGGGTACCAGCCTATACAGAGTTCATACCGACATACACAGGATTTGAATAAGTCCTGGACTAAAGTGCAGCGAGGAGAGTGATAAACTGAACCAGTGGGTCGACTTGTGGCTGTAAGCATCTTGGCATAGTCTTTGTTAAGTGCTGAAAGCAGAAAGGAAATTTAAAAGTGTATGTATTTTTTTAATACTCACTGAAAAAAAGTTAAATCGTATAGCAGACATGCTGAAAACTATTTAGAATGGTCAGACATTTGGACCTGCAGTAATGAAATATTTACCGGACCGAATGGATTTTTGTCGGACCAAAAATCACCCTATTCGTTTGAGACAGAAACTACCAGTAATATTAGGGTAGCTTACTTTATTTGTGAATCTGATGGGTTTGAAACGGAAGGTAAAATGCTTTGGGTCTTATATAATTTTATTAGTAAAGTATGTCGAATGATGTCTGTGAATTCAAAATTGCGGCTCTTAAACTCTTGTCGGTCCTTTGGACTGACTTAATCCAATTTTTTACTGGTCCAGACAAATTTTGCTGGTCATGACCGATCGGACCGACAGTTTCAACATGTCTGGTATAGGTCCCTACAATTTCAGTATAACTCAAAGAAAAAAATCTTGAAGGTGAATATTTGTGCATCATTGAGAAGCAGACATGAAACCTTTTAGTTTCTGAGAAGGGTTGAGGTGTATGCCTGTGTGAAAACGCAAATAATAATCTGTTGACTTCCTCAGCAGTTATGGTAAATTACTGTTAATAATAATAATAATTGCACTATTAAATTAAAGGAGCAAAAGACTGCTTTAACTAAGAGAATTAAAGGCATGTTGCCTTGTTTTTACACAAGAAAATGGCATGATGTTTTGTATCACTTGTATAATTCAGTGCCAAGCTGGCAATGGCTACCAGAGGAGGCTAAGGAGATAATAAGTTCACTCAGAAAAAAACTTTTATCTGAAGGGTTTTATTGTCTTAGAGTCTGAATTGGGGAATATAAGAAGCTTTCCAGGACATAACTAGAAAAGCACTCAGAGAGCACAGACCTCCGCCAAGGCAGTAAAGTCTCTATCTAATGCCGCTTCATCACTAAATTTTCTATATTTTTAATTATCAATTGATTATTGATCCGAAAACTCATCATCTGTTCCTTGGCCCACTTCTGACAGTTCCTGAAAATTTCATCAAAATCGGTCCATAGCTTTTTGAGTTATGTTCATGGCAGACAGACAAACAAACAGGGGTGAAAACATTACCTCCTTGGCAGAAGTAAATATGAATCTGGGGAATTTACAAACATGGGAAAAGCTTCATAAAATTCATTTTGACAGGGAAAATCCTGAGAAGTGACCCTTTTATAAAGAAATTATGCCTTACATTTAGCAATATACTTGAGATCAGCATCTCTGGCATATGTGGTGTCCTTGGCGTCCCCACAGATGTCTGAGGTATGGGGGGTGATGGCCTCTGCTCTCTCCACATCAACCAACAGGTCCTTCTGGTGTTTCTCTTGACCCTTGTCATCCTCTGGGGTACGGAGAGCACCAGGATTTTTCTGAAATTATTTTTTTTTAAATGCGGTTTTGATTTTATTTATAGATTTTCTTTTGGAATATAATATTCCAAAAGTTTTCTGTTATTTTACTTATATCTCTACCTCTTTTTAATCAAGTACTTCGTTAAAAGGACCTTGTGGCAGAATTTAAACTGTCCATGTGATTTAAAAGAGAATTTAACATTCTGATTATTTTGAAGTCATTATTTCTTAATTATATAAAATCTAAATCTTTTCTTTACTGTTTTTTTTATCAGCTTACCTGTCTTAACTTGGACATTGCATCTGCTGAGATGAACTCATTTTTGATAAACCTGGTGATGTAACACATGACTTGAAATTGATTCTGTCCCCTTTCCTCCTCACCTAGCACCAGAGCTTTAAAGATCTGAATTTCCTAAATTAGAAAGGAAATATGGTTGATGTTTTAGAAGAAATATATATCTTATCTAGAAAAAACTTACACAGAGAAGGACTTTGTACAACATGACAGTGATACACAGGTTGGGACAGGAGAAGGTTATGTGTCAGATGTCCCAATGGTCAGAAGGAACTTAGATTGTCACAGTGTAGATAGCAATGGTAGGAGACTATTAGAACTTTGTAAGAGCAGCGGTCTTAGGATAGTGAATGGTAGAGTAGTAGGGGATTTTGTTGGTAATCAGACATGTTTTAGTCATAACGGGCAGCCCAGCACGATTGACTATATGCTTTGCCATGTGGAGATGTTTAGTCAGATTGAGTTCTTCAGGGTACACGATTTATCACCGTACTCGATCCACTGCCTGCTTTCCTGCAATATAAGTATGAATACGTGCCAGTACATTACTCCTACGGGCTCATCAGAGGCTCTACTTAAGATCCCAGAGAAATTTTTCTGGAATACTGGTTCACGAGATAGATGGCTTAGAGCTCTCGCTCTACCCCATAATGCAGAAGAAATAAGGAAATTCACATCTGCAACATTCATGGAAACAGCAGAAGGAGTTGAAAACTGTCTTGAGGATTTCTACAGACTAGTGACGAGAATAGCTGCCAATGCAGGCATCACAAAAAGAATACCTAAAGTAAGAAAAGGTGTGGGCAAAAAGCCCTGGTTTGATGGTGACTGTAAAGATATGAGCAGAAAACTCCGGTCCTTGGCTAGACAAATACGTAAAAACCCAGAGAATCGAAAGATAGTCCAAGATTACTGTGCCATGAAAAAAAGATACAAAAGGCTACTCAATAGCAAAAGCAATTCATTCAGGGAGATTATATATCAGCGTATAAGCAAGCTGGAGAATGAAGACCCGCAGGCATTCTGGGAGATGTATGATAAACTCTGCCCTAAAAAGCAGTCTTCTGGAAACCCTATCCCACCAAGCGAGTGGTGGAGTCATTTCAATCAATTAATGAATAGGAAAATTCCGCATGATGACACATCTTTTGAGGATGAAATAAACAAATACCACTTGCAACACGACCATAGGGTATTCAATGAAATGGATTTTCGTATTACGGAAAAAGAGGTTCGTTTGGCGGCAACTAGTCTGAAAAGAAATAAAGCCCCAGGTCTAGACGGTATTCCTAACGAGATGATAAAGGAAGGGATTACTTCATTAGCACCGGCAATATCTAAGGTCTTCAATGTAATCTACTCCTCAGGAGAATTCCCGACCGCCTGGCGTACCAGCACCCTTAGCGTGCTCCACAAGAAAGGAGATCGCAGATGTCCAGGCAACTATAGGGGAATAGCTATCTCAAGCAACTTATCCAAACTGTTCTGTAAAGTACTTAACAAAAGGCTAAATAACCATGTCAAGAAAGAGAAAATCATCCCTGACAACCAAATCGGATTTAGGAAAGGTGCCAGGACCAGTGACCATATCCTAACACTGAAGAGTGTGGTAGATAAATACATTCACAAGATCTCTAGGTCCAAACTTTATGCAGCATTTGTAGACTTTTCACAGGCATATGACACTGTTTGGAGGAATGGACTGCTTTATAAATTAATTAAGGCAAATTTTAGCTCTAAATTCGTAAACATACTCAGAAGTATGTATAATTCAGTAATGTTTTCTATTAAGTGTGAGGGGGGGATCACCAACCCCTTCAGTACGAGCGTGGGAGTCAAACAATGATGTGTGCTAAGCCCCACCCTTTTCAATATTTTCATAAAGGACATACCAGACCTATTTGTGGATACGTCTCAAAGCAAGCCACCGCTTTTGAATAACAGACCACTCACATGCCTACTTTATGCTGATGATTTAGTCATACTATCAGAAAGTGCACAAGGTCTCCAGTTTTCCTTGAACCAACTAGCTAGTTATTGTGACAGATGGAAACTTAGAGTGAACACAGATAAGACTAAGGTGGTTATCTGCTACTGAATATAACTACTTGGGAATTACGTTCACCCCCTCCGGCAAATTTACCAAAGGTATGGACACACTGAGAGACAAGGCAGCTAAAGTGTTCTTCAAAATTCGTAACCAGCTGTTTGCCGCCCCCACGGATGTCGCAAAAAAACTTTTCCAATCCCTAGTGGTACCAGTTATGGGTTACGGTAGTGAAGTGTGGATTCCATATCTGATACACAAAATGCAAAAAAATAATATTCTCTCCACATGTGACAAGCCCTCAGCAGAGCAGCTCCACATTAAAGCCTGTAAGACCATTCTGGGAATCCACAAGAGAGCCAGTAACCACGCTGCAAGGGGTGAATTGGGAAGTTACCCCATACTAATTCACCTCACGGCACTGGCGGTCAAATATTGGAGTTACCTGAACTATAGACTATATAAAGGTGAAAATGACATTGTACTCGATGCCCTTATTGAAAACAGGGCAATGTCAGAAGCTGGTATCACAACCTGGTCTTCAGGTATTAAAGCGGCACTCTTAGTAGGCCATGCCGAGGAATTATGGGCTAATCCCATTAAAATATCCAACAGCAACACACAGGCCATAGTAAACCAACACATGAAGCAGGCCTACAGTGAGGAATGGGAAGAGATGATTAAGGCAGTAGATAGTAGTAAAAAACTTAGAACATATGTAGGCTTCAAAAACAGATTCTCATGTGAGAATTACACTACAATTATGAATAAGAGTCTAAGAGCCACCTTCTGTAAAATAAGATTAAGTGCACATACCCTACAGGTGGAGCGGGGGAGATTTACCCGACCTAAGACACCGCTGGAGCAGAGGTTATGTAAATTGTGCGATCTTCAGAGAATAGAAGATGAATTTCATCTAGTTAGGGAATGCCCAGTATATACAGAGCAGCGGAACCAAATGAGTACTAAGCTAGAGTCTTTTGTATCATTTGAAGGGTTTAGTGAAAAAGAAATATTCAACTTTCTAATGGGGTCTGTTGAGATGGACATTATATATGTTGTAGTACAATATTTAGGTAGCTGTTTAAAACTTAGGGATAAGTTGCTCACTATCCAGAACACTAGTTAACATAATCCCTGTGTGTCATTAGCAAAGTCGGGATGGATAGATAGTATGGGTTAACGAAATGCTACACACAAAAAAACTACTGTAGCTGGATATATAACCTATATAATTATTTATTTATTTCTCATTGTAATTGTGCGTCATTATTGCTAGTAGTGTTATGGTGCCTTGTTATAGTTGGATGTCGGTCAGTAAAATATCCATTCAGGTGTAAGTTTAATTCGTATGTTCCATGTAGTTTTTTTTTTTTAATCTATTATATCTAGTATTGTATTTCTGTGACCATTTTATATTTGCTTGTACGCTATCGATGATCTGTACCTTGTATGTTAAGGTTCTTTATGATCAATAAACATTCCTTCCATTCCTATATCATATTGGCTCCTCTAAATTACAACCCCATTCAATAAAGGTATACTATAGCACATATGAGTTTCAACAAATAGTGAAATTATCGACCTAAAGAATGGTCGTAGCTCAAATTACTAATCAGAAATAAACTTTGCTTCAGAAATCGCCTGTTCCTCGAGAAATTTCCAAAATAAAAGTTATTATTTACCCCACCCTAATATAAGACAAATACGATGCATAGACATACTAGTAATCGATTCTTATTAAAAGCGTGCTCTGCATTTAAAACATACATTTTTGAAGTCAATAAACTGTGTTATAAACGTTCCATCGCTTCTCTTAAATTCGAGTGTCACTGTCTCGGCTGTGGTGTTGGCGTTTATCGCTTCTTTATAAACATCTCCTCCCTTCTCTTTCACGTTGACAACCAGTTGAGCACATCCAGGGGTTATAAGAAAGATAAGGAATACGGACTGAAGACACGCAATAATGATTGAAGATGAACAAGGGAAGGAGCGGCGACTTTTTTTGCTGAGTTTCCGATCGCATCCATCCCTCTCCACCATCTTGTAATTTCTCAAATTAGCCTTGAACATCACAGGTAGTGAACATTATAGTATTTATCGAATATATGAGTGAGGCATAAATAAAATATTACTAGTGTCCTTTTTGGAAATCGATATTAATGGTATTTTGTTTTGACGCTGTTTTTGAGAGAAATAATGATCATAAATGCAGGGAGAATTGAGACTATTGCACTAACAAGGTCAAGGCCAAAATAATCCGGAAGTGATATCACTCAAAATTATTCGTTAGTTATTATACGAAGGAAAAGGTAAGATGTTTTGATGCGGTTTTCGTTTTACATTCCTAGTAACACGCCCCTGATATTCTTTAATATTTAATAAATTAATGCGAATTGTTACGTTGTTTTGTCAAAATGAAAATTGCTTTTAAAAATATAGTCTAATTCTAAAACTTGGATCCTGATTTGACGTGCTGGTAGTGGTATCCTGAATAATAAGTATGGGTGGACAAAACCTGTGTTAATCATCATGGCTATTTCTAGAATGGTATCATTGCAAAATGTGCGTGAGATATTACGCAGTTTAGTATTTTAATACTATTATTAAAATACCATAATCACAATGGGTGTCTCTGCCAAAATAACTACATTTTTTTTTTTTGGGGGGGGGGGGGGTTAAATGAGACATGCCTTTTTAAGTAAATGCTGACAGTCTAGTTTTGGCAGGTCACCTTTAAAGCTAAAACATTGTAAATATTTATGTTTCAGATCACAGTTATGTCTAAAGCACCAGCACCACCTGGCTATCCTCAACAGGGGGGTTATCCCCAGGGGGCATCAGGCTACTCTGAGCCACCCCCTCCTTATACTGCTGCCCCACCTCAGCCTTATACAGTGTATGCTCCTCCAGGGGTAGGTACAATGTAGGTTATACATACACCACAGAGGTGCTGGAAAGCTGAAATCTGGAGAATCTAAAATTTTGTATCACGGGTGGGGTGGGGGGTGGGTGGGGGGGTGTGGAGAAGGACCACTCTCTTAACCCCCTGTATGTGTACGAGCACAAAGGGATGTCACATTTACCTTGCTGACAAGTGTAGTACACACAGCTGTTTTTGGACTCGAGTAGATTTCCAATTGACCAATTAAGTTTGTATATATGATTATTTGTTTGCAATATGAAAATGTGCTTAACAGTAATGTTATCAATAAGCTTGAAAACTTTTATTATGCTTGTGTATGTTGGTTAGGTAGAAAGCTAGTCTTTTATCAAATCAGGTGATGAAAATACAGAGAAACTTTGTTTTTACTAGAGTCCATTTTGGTTCTTTCAGAGCACAGTAACTGTGGCCCAGGGAGGTGGCTCTCAGCCTAAGGTTGTGAAAGTCAAGCAGAAGAAAGGAGTAAGCAAAACTTTTTTGTGTGCTTGTGCATCTAAGCATTGATGACTGTTGCTTCGTTCACAATTTTGTTATAATTCAGAAATGATCATGCTGTTTGAAAAACATAATATTGTTCGCTGCTTCAAATAATTCGTATAAGTAAACATTCTCCATAACTTTGATTATTGTAGTCCCACTAATTGATTTCATATTTATTTTTATACAACTGCTCTATAATAATATGTTGCATTTTAAATGTACTGATTTATAGTAATTCTGATATTAGATATATATTTCTTAAAAGTCATTTATCAACAGTGGATAATGCTCTGTTTATCATTAGAATGAAAACTGATTACGATTAAGCTTTATGGTGTACGTACTTATAATATTTTAAAGATGTTTTGGTAGTTTAATTCCATCTTACTGTCTTGAATTGTACTTACATACATCATTACCAGTAAATAGCAATGCAATAATCAATTTCAGTGACCATTTATTTTTATTTTATAAAAGATGCATGTACACCTGTAACTTCAGGGTCTTTTTGGGATGTTGGAGGATGCTGGCAACTACATAAGCAAAGAGGTTGACTATGTTGCCAACAAAGTGGACAGCTATGTTCAAACTGGCAATTATCCAATGATGGTAAGAATTTTAATGTTACATTGGTGGCAGCAATGGGTTATAATGCTTCCTTGCTTGCTTGGTTTCAGGGCATTTTAGGTATGCTAGAGAGTGCAGGAGATTATTTAAGTAAAGAAGTGGATTATGTTGCTGGCAAGGTGGATAATTATATACAGACGTGTAATGCTATTGTACAGGTGAGATGTTTTAACATGTAGATGTGTGAGTTGGAGGTGGAGATAGGTACTAGGTGTCATACAGTGATTACTAATTAAATTAATCAAAATCAATCAATAACATTTCATAAAATGATGTATTATTAATAATACATAGATGCTATAACAAAAAACGTGAAATGTGAGCACACCTGATGTCAGAAAACACATTGTTGCAAGTAGCTGAAAATGATAAAACTTGAAAATATAGAGCATTGGGATGGATGAACATTGCATATTTTGGGTAATCACTGTATAATCACTGTACCCTTAAGGTGTTTGAGACATTTACTGTGTATGTGTTTCTATGCATAGGTTTGATATAAGTTTTCCTACACTCTTGACTAGCCCCAAAGAATGGTAGTCTGGGGTTTGGACACTTACTCCAAGCCAGTTACATTGAAACCAGGCCAGTTAAAGTTTGTGAATAAGTATAGTTACTGGCTACTGGTTCTGCTATGGGCAGACCCTGGTGGCAAACTGGTCCAGTAACCAGAACAGTTTTTGCCACAAATGGATTGTTTTTATTCTTAGGTTGATAGCATGTTTTCCTGATGGCTTAATTCTTGTCGTGTTAAGGGTCTGTTGGGGTTAATTAACAGTAGAATATGGAGATTATACATGTACAAGTAGGCTGGAAACAAGAGAAAAGCATGTTAGTCTGTTAGTTTGATTGTATTCAGTGAGAGTCACCAAAGAGTTAGCATGCTGTTGCTATTGCAACGTAACTCATTCTGAGCATCCCTTCACACTTTGTAGTTGGATACAGAGCAATCCTGTCTTACCAGAAATGGGCAGGGGTTATCCCTGTTTCTGAGTATTGGCAGCTGTATGCCAGCCAGATTGTAAAATAAGATTATCCCCCAGGAAACTGTATCTTAGAGTGCATTCCCATAGATTTAGATCAATCCATCTATATCGACCTAACTCCCTGGTGTTAATTACACCCTTACAGATTTTAGTAAGTGGGATAAACATTTAAGCTGGCTAAGCTGACAGTAATCTAGTGAGACTTCCCACAGGGATAGATCGATCGAAAATCTGTGGGAATGGGGTCTTAATCTCTGTCATGACCTTCTGTAAGAAACTGTATGTCTTTACCTGAAACATTCAATAGTGCAGACGTTAAAATGGGAGGATGGATTTTCATTGACACTTGATTACCTTAATATGATCAGTACAAAAAATTCACAAACTAAACTTAACTAAACTAAGAGTTTTATACATTTGAATGGATACTATTCTAACATAACAGCAATTGATACGCACTGTGTAATTATGCAGCTAATGGGTTAAGTGTACATATAAAATGTTTAATTCATATGCATTATTCTCTAAGAATTTTCAATATCACATATCAGCCCATATGTGTGTGCCCACGTGTGTGTATGTGTTGGCCATGGGCATATCAGGGTATGGTTCTGAAACACCCTTATCAGCTAGTGACCTTTATCTATTGCATGTTGAAAGAAATGACCGCAAGGTCAGAGACATGCTACAATTTACCCCATATGCCCTCTCTAGAGTGATATATAAAGTTGAGTCAATATTTGTACCAGTAAGTCTGAGTCTTCAGACTCGCACTGTTCAATCACATGTTCCAGCCAAGCAGTCAACATTTAAAATGCTTGCATTTTATATACTGTGGATGCTTGTTTTGGCAAATCATTGTGAGGGTGCAAAGATATTTGTTTTCCCATATACCCACATATTCAATTCAAGAACATTCAATATGGAAAAGATTGCCATCTTGCTGCGAGACCAGGGCCATGAGATTACCATGCTGGTTGCAGACCATTACAAACCAAAGCTTGACCTACATGATGTGAAACTGATCAGATTTCACATTGATGAAACTGAAGTCAACAAAGGTGGTGTGTTTGATCTCCAGACTGCTTTTGCCATCATTGAACATGATCCAGTTATTGCTCTTAGACAAATGGATGACAGTGATTACTTACTCAGTCATTCATTGTTTAGCGATAAGGAAACTTTGATGCAGTTAAAAAACTCCAACTTCTCGCTTTATTTCTTTGATCCCTTTAACTTTGGAGCCAGTACTCTTCTGAATGAGTATTTGAAAGTGCCATCAGTTGGTTACTGGAATCATGGCATCTGGAACCCTTGGTATGTTTTTCGTCAACCAATGTTTTATTCATTCATTCCTAACATTCCTACTGGACTCTCTGACCATATGAACTTTTGGGAAAGGTTACACAATTATGAGGTGGACCAAAGTATTCAAGGCTGGCTGGATGATAAGATGGACTATATAGAAGGCCTTAGATTAAAGTATCTTCCAGAGGAAAATATTCCCCACATGAAGCATGCATTTGAGAGGGTTTCTCTTATGATTGCTGCAAATGCTCATTTTGCCTTAGATTACCCCAGACCAGTCATGCCCCATGTCAAACCTATCTCTGGACTCCTGTGGACACCAGCAAAACCTCTGCCCAAGTTTTTCAATGATATTGTTACAACTGCTACTCACGGGGTTATTCTACTAAGCTTTGGAACTATTGTGCCACATTTGGAAGAGGAAAAAGCAGAGATGTTTGCCAGAGTTTTTGCTAAGCTTCCCCAGAAGGTAATTTGGCGCCATGATGGAAAAGCTCCAAAGTCACTAGGCAGTAATACATATCTGGTAAAGTGGTTTCCACAGAATGATCTTCTTGCTCACCCAGCCACTAAACTGTTCATCACCCACTGTGGAGTAAGCAGCATGTGGGAGACCCTGTACCATGCAGTGCCTGTGGTGGCCATTCCTCTCTTTTGGGATCAGCCCCAAAATGCTAGAAAATTAACAGATCGTGTTAAAGTTGGGGTGTCCCTTGACTATCTAACCCTTACTGAAACTAAGTTAGAAAATGCCATTAGGAAGGTCTTGAATGAGAAATCTTACAAAGAAAATGCAGAGAAGATTTCACTAATTTTGCAAGACACTCCTATGTCAGGACAGGAAGAACTCTTATTTTGGTTCAACTACACCATGCGTCACAATGGATCTCTTCACTTTCATTCCCAAGCAGCTTATAGTTTAAACTGGTATCAGTACTTTCTGCTGGATGTCATTGCTTACAAAGTGGTGGTTAGTTGTTTGCTCATTACTGCTTATGTTCTTCCTACAGTAGTTTTGTGGAAATTAATGAGAAGCATACTGAAATATTTTCAGCAGGTTAATTAAAAAATAAATTCTTACTTTAACAAGGGATTATGTCTGTGTTTACAGAATGGTGTTTAATTTTATTATTATTACTAAGATATTCTGACACAAAAATTTAAGTCTGAAATGTTCTTTCTATTAGGGATATATAATATAAAAGAATAAATGTCATAATTCATGTGGTTGTGCTCTCTTTTTACTACATTTGTTAAGGTGTCATAAAGTAGTCAATGCCAAAAATGTTTTAGCCAATTACTGGTTACCCTTCTTGCGTTCTCCTTACTTAGGGGTCAACAGTATTGGATGGTAATGAATGTTATTTGTCTTCAAAGAATTTTAACAGAGACTAAATTGTGATTTATATTGGTTTTCAGTCCAAGGATTTTTAATTCTTCAAGAGAGAGGAAATATTTTTTCCTTTTTTTTTTTTAGAAAGTTTCTGTGCAGCATATGCCATTGCATAAGTTCTTTCACGTTTATGACCCTTCTTTTATCAAACTTTGCCGTTTTTAGTGGTTTAATTTGCTTAAAGTAAGTAAAAATAGAAAGTAAACATTAAGAAGCAGTTGAAAAGTGGCCTTTTAAAATAATAAAAGAATGAAAAGGTATTTTATTTTGATAAAAGTAATGTTGTAATTTATAAAGGGTGACAAATTTGAGAGAACTTTTTTTGTGATATATACATAGTGTGTGCCAAAACCTTTTTAGACTACTAACCCTTAGGGCAAGCAAGGTCTAAAAATTTGTTAGGCCAAACCAAAAAACACTAGCCAAAATATAATTAATTCATTTTGACGGTTTCAAAATATGAAATTGTTTTAAAATTTAAAAAAAAAAGACCATATATATTCAGGCTTTCAAATTTAAAAGGAAGTTTCCTGCTCTCTCTTTGCTTAAGCTGTTGCAGTAGAAAATCTGAAAAGATGTGAAAAATGTGGCGAAATTGCTCTGCTAAGGTGTCTCTAAAAAATAAACATCTCATTCATTTTCCAAATTAAAAATTATATTTATTCAAGACTTTCAAAAAAATTTAGTGACTAACCTCAATTTTGAAGCAAAGCTAAGATGTACCATACTATGACGGCCTTATTTTGATGTTGAACTGTGGCAGTCATGTGCTTGGAATCATGTGACACTCAGATTCAGGTATAAAAATGCAATTTTATAGAGTCGTATTTCTTTCTTCTTCTCTTCCTGCAAACTTTTAGTAAATCCTGAATGTGTCTTTTTTTTTTTCGGGGATTGAACCCTTACACCGTTTTAAGGAGCCAGACATATTGTAAGCATGTGTTTCATGTGCCTACATTAATATATAATGGAAACAGAAGATGCAAAATTTCACACAAACATGTAAACATACACTTGTAAATCACAAGTTCAACAATATAGTACATCACAGTTATACTATGCAATATAAACACGCCATATGTGACCGGTGAGTCAACTAAGTGTTGGGGACAAAGGGTATTGGCGATTAATATTTTTGACATTTTGCCGTGTGTTAAAATAGGCAAAAAATTACTACTAACTAGCCCATTTGGGCTAGTGCTTTGTAAACTGTAACCTTTTTTACTAGCCTGGTGCCACTTGATGTGGGCAACAGCCACAGGCTTGTGCTTTAAGACTCAGACTACATATTTTATATCTCATCAGTTCTAGCTTCTGTCAGTGAACTTTATCTTTTCCACATGTGGTAAAATTTGACATAAAGGTCATAGACACACTTACTCACCCCATACAACCTATGGTAATGTGTGAAAAATTTTGAGATTCACACAGATTCACACAGATTTTAAATTCTGTTACAAACATGCTAAATTTGCAACCAACAGAATCAAGAATTCCATCATAATAACACTTTCATCATCAGCTTCATATCAAATTCTAAAAACAAAAACATTTGAGATCCCAGTAAACACAACCAGCAACCACTCATCAATATTAACAAGAATCCCAAGATATTTCGGCAAACCAAATCAGACAAAACACCAATCACTTTCGATGAAAACTTCCTCAGTGAGTGTGTGGGTGGAAATGAAAAGTTAATTATGCGAAGTCTCTAATTTAAGACCTACAAGTGACCAAAAGTGCCTCCAAGCGATAATACTTGACAACAAACATAACATCAAAAAGTTTTGTGAATTAACATTTTGCCCAATAGTATCAAGCCATCAATTAAAAGACTAGGTAAAAACAACATTTTAGTATACAAAATTTACAACCTCACCTTCAAATGCGAGGAAAACTCCACCAAAACAGGCTGTGACTTTTGCGTGATGAAAGTTCCATGCAACTGTGCAGTCCAATATTCCACTATCTACTTACCTCCAGAACAAATTTGCACAGAAAGTGACAAAATAGAAATCCTCCATCCCATTAATTTTGCAGTCTTGCAACATTTTTCCGATTCCCAAAACAGTTTTCAATTTTAGGCCATTCCCTATTTTCAGAATCCCCAACTTTAGATATCCCAGAACTAAAATTATACACAACCAACTTTTCAAAATTTTTGACCAAAGATAATCAAATTAAAATAAAACTAGACAAGGCCATGGAGGCAACAAAAAAAGTGCAAACAATTTTTCAATCATTAGCAGAACCTCGGCTATCTGGAGAGCTAAAGTTACCAGATACAGAATTCAACCTTAGAGAAATACTGTCATATGCTGCTTTGGTTATTGCAAGTTTTGGTCTAGTATTCTCATTTGGTCTAGCATATAAATTAAAAGTCCTGTCCACCACTCTACTAGCCATTGGTCATGCTAAAGCGAATCCAGCACCTGTCTTCAGATACACAACATACATCACCACCACATCACCAACAACAGAATATTTTGATTTGTACAAAGCACTAACACATGAAAATGCCACTCCAGTTTATTTTCTGATCATCTTTTTACTGTTAATTTTTGTCGCAATATGTGTCAAATGCAGAAAGAAAGCCCCAAACTACCTTGCCTTGGAGATAACAGGTAATAGTGAGAGTGTCATGGTCCCAATGACAAAAATTAAATCCTGTCCTTACGAACTAACTATAGAAGGGTCACCGTTGGTGAAAAACATCACCTTTGTTACTGGTCTAATGCCAAAGATCATAATTGAATGGGGAAACATCAGGTTGTATTCCCAAACTGATGTGCAGATATTGTTACCAATCACTAGAAATATTTCTTGGCTAAAATACTGGAAACTGAATAAATTGACAAAAGGGGATTTTGATGTGAATATGGTGATAATGGTGACAATAGGATATTCTACCCAAAATAAAGTCATATTGTGCAGCAATGTTAACAAAATTGATATTTTTTTAAATTACATGATAGCCCAGTGAGACTTTCTTTAATGTTGTGGATGAAACCAGTTTTAGAAAATAATTACTACCTACCATACCTGTGTTTAATTGAGACTATGTAAATCACTTTATATCTACCTTACCTTTGTTTTATGGAAACGATAAATTACTATATAGCCGCCTTCGTCTGCATTTTATGGTATAGATCCTGCCTATGTTTCTGTATTATGTAAATTGTACATATTAGCTGTAAAATTAAATAGATGTTGCTGAGTGACAGACAACCTGGCCAATAGGAACCAGGCAGTCACCCCCCTCCCAAGAGATTTAAAAATTAACAATGTTCTGAAGAAGTCAGTACAGGGTTAGCTCTGGAGCAGGAAGGTTGTAAGGTTAAAGGTTAAAGGCTCCTATGTACATTTACGCTAACAGAAATAAACCTGTATAGAATCAAAGTTGTGAGTTTGTTGAGTGGAGACATCATATCCCCAGTATATGGTCGGAGACCTTCTCCCGGACCATCATAGTTTTTTTTTGGCACGTGAATTTCAACCAATAACAATTTTTTGCACAATTGTGATTTTCATGAATTTTGATAAGTCGGCCATTGGGCTATTTACGGGTTCATAATAATCTAACAGTCAGCTATGTTGCCCTAGCATAGCTTTACCTGAGCACTGCCTGTGCAGCCCAAGGTGCAAGGAAACTGTCGGTGCAGTTGGCTTGGTATGCAAAGCAGTGCATCATCATCATCATCATCACCATTATGGAGGTTTCATTAACCTGATACAGGGACTGGGACAGCATATATGCAGTGCAATTCTTAATTACCCCAAAGGGCCAGAACTGCATATATTGGTATCTCAGAAATGTTGGTGTTTTCTTGTCTTTTGAGTGGTTAATTATGGAAAAAAGACCATAATGTACATCTGGGTACATGTTTCTTGTCTCTCATTCTTGCTATTTTAGAGAAAGTTGAGATGTAGGTAGAGTGAGGAAAACATGAATTTATGGAAGTTTGTCTCAAAAACTATGTATGGAGCAGAGGGACTGTTATACCCAGGCCAACTTCCATGGTGAAGTCGACCTATACACCGTAAATACTGATCTGCTGCTTCTGAGATAAGGACTACCTGTAGGCTGTAGACTCTGCACGGAAGTCATATGGGACATTACGTATAAAAGATAAAGTTGTTATTTCAATACAAAGCTATAAACTTTTCGAGTTTATGTACTATTTGATAAGGGTTCTCTGCCGAGCAAGACAACTTTTAAAATGCTTGCATTTTACTTACTGTGGTTGCCTATTTTGGCAAATGTCTCTGAGGGTGCAAAGATATTAGTTTTTCCATCTACCCAGGTATTCAATTCAAGAACATTGAATATGGAAAAGATTGCCATCTTGCTGCGAGACCAGGGCCACGAGATTACCATGCTGGTTGCAGACCATTACAAACCAAAGCTTGACCTACATGATGTGAAACTGATCAGATTTCACATTGATGATACAGAATTTAACAAAGGTGGTGTGATGGATCTTCAGACTGCTTTTGACATCATTAAACATGACCCATTCCTTGTTCTAAAAAAATGGCAGGATCTTGATAACCTATTTTGCCACAAACTGTTCAGTGATAATGATACTTTGATGGAGTTCAGGAACTTGAACTTTTCCCTTTTTTTCTTTGATTCTTTTAATATAGCAACAGGTACTCTTCTGAATGAGTATTTGAAAGTGCCATCAGTTGGTTACTGGAATCACGGCTTTTGGAACCTTTGGTATGTTTTTCTTCAACCAATGTTTTATTCATTCATGCCTAACATTCCT